GCCATAATTTATTATGGTTTATGTAAAACGATCAGATCATTATTTAGGTACCTTTCTATGTCTTTGAACGGAATTACCGACGTTCCAAAAATCTCAACGTACCTAGCGTAAGTGACGTGTAGCTTCAAAGAGAGCTGCCCTACACTACGCCGCTCCATCAGGAAAAAAACTGACAAGTGCACAAGCTACTCATCCAAGTTTTTCATGTCATTCCGGACCGTAAAAAAAAATCGGACTGCCGGACCTGAAAATTCAGTGTAGTGCACAAGCGCCCTTAAAATTAAAAAAAAAATCATCTGTTAAAATTTCAACTGAGTAACTTTCACGGTTCAAGAGATACAGCTTATTGACAGACACACATCAGTCTTAGTAATAATGTTCCAGTTTTACCCTTAGGATACGGAACCCTAAAAATATAGAAATAATATACTTATCTTAAAGACATATTGTAGAAACTGCTATTGAAATCGGGCGGAGGTTATATGTATGTAAATTGTTTTTTTGGTATTATGAAATAACTAAAACTAGGACTCACTTTTTGAACGGAGCGTAGGGCCGAAAATATTTATTTATTATTATTTAGCTCTTCATACAAAGTGTACAAAGGCGGATTCAATGTTCGAGCCATTCTCTACCAGTCTACCCTTTTAGGGTTCCATACCGAAAGGGTAAAACTAGACCATATTACTAAGATTTCGCTGTCCGTCCATCCGTCTCTCTCACCAGGCAGTACCTATCTCATGAACCGTGATAGATACAGTAGATACAGTTGAAAATTTCACAGATGATGTACTTTTTTTGCCGCTTTAAAATCAAACACTAAAAACGGAATATAATAGATATCTTAGGGGGCTCACATACACTAAACGTGATTTTTTTCTTGGTAAGGAACCCTTCGGTGCGAGTGCAAGTCCGACTCACACTTGGCTGGTTTTTTGCAAGTATGGAGCCGGCTCTATTTTTTGAAAAAAAAAATCTTATTAAATAATACAAAAAAGTAAATATTGATATATATGTCAACATAGTAATATCTTAGGAAAGGAACAGTGGCGGACTAATCCCATCAGAGGCCCAGGGCGGCTGTCCGATATTTTTTTTCAACCGGGGCAGAAATTTGATATTGCGTATAATTACAACCCCTTCCCGCATAAGTTTTAACTTTGTTATGATTTTGCTAGATGGTTATAGCATAATTAAGATAATGAAAGAAAAAACTACAGAAACAGTCATTTTAATTTAAAAAATTATACTCCCATTTATTAAGTTAAAATTCAAGGCTCTTTCGAGGCCCTTCAGGACCCCTCTGGTCCTGAAGGGCCTCGAAAGAGCCTTGAATTCATCGCCATCGAACATTAGTCTCTTCCTTTTCGATTTTGAAGTCGGTTAAAAAGGGACAAAATGCGTTGTGGTTAATAGGTTAGCAAATAGAGTTATAATAAGACTTTTCAATCAAACAAATTCACTCTAGATTTTATGATTATAATAATATATTTATTTTAAATAACTAATTTATTAAAAGAGTAGGTACATATATTTCAACTAATAATTAATGTATAAAAATATCACCATTTACCATTACTTTATGAGACAGACGAAGTGTTGAGCTCGAAAATGGTAGTGATATAAATTAAAACACTTTTGTTTTGAACACTTCATCTACATCCTTATTCTTGAATCACAGAAGGCAGCCTGGCAGCGAAATATTGTACGAAGCCGAAAATGTATGTTTACATATTAATAGATCACATATCGCATGCCCAAACAATTATTTTATTGAAGAAAAAATACATTATATCACTCTATATAAAACAATTTTATTTCAATATATTAACAAGAATTGGCCAAAATGCTGAAAAATGCAATAAACCCGTATATAAACAAACATACACTAGTAAGATAACATGAGGTTTTTTTTATTATGATGCACATTATTTTCGCAACCAAAAAGTATCTAAATATAACGTTTATTATATATATTATTCAAATGATACTTACAAGTCCGTACTCTTTAATTACCTCTTTTGAAATCTTTTTTTTTTTCTAATAAATGTTGACAATCCTACGTGACGAATTGAACACATAATTTGTTTTTTAATATTAAGATTTGTGGGATTAACTAAACGCACAGTCTAGACGGGCATGTCCATACTTGCCTGCCGAACCTTGCTACAATCTCTGCCTGTGTAATGACTGCGATTTTCCTACAATAGAAACGTCACATAGACCATAGGTTTGTGTGATGTAGTGAGACCCGGTGGGCATGTGTGCCGACTTGCTCGCGGGCTCAGTATAGTGATTCCCCGCTTAACAAAAAAAAACTAAAATTGTTTTATTTAAAAGTGGTTTTATCCTTAAACATGGCGAATTTCATTACTTTTTTATTCATCATCATTCTAGCACATAAATCCGTATTAACGCCTATTTCATACATGGTATGCAATTTTTCAATATGCTAGGTCTGCATTTGCAGACCTGCCCTTTTGACATTTGTGACACAAACGGCCGATTTCTGAATGGAGAAAAATACAAAATCTCAACTGATTATTCTCAATAAAATAAGTTTTTTACGTTTAAAAAAATCAGAAACAAAAACCTTGTTTAAGTGAAGTCAGAAATAGCTTAAAGACGGTTTGAGATGTGCTTAACTTTAAGAAACCGGGTAATTATGTCGTATTTGAAGCGGATATCATAATATATATTTTATTCTAAAGTTTTTAATCCGATGAATGGAGATGATTGTAGATGAATAATATTAACAGCTTTCAATGAGCATTTTACAAAAATTTTTGCACTTTAAAAGCATAAATTTTAACAGAAATAATGTCCGGTCCTCAGAGCTTTTTATTTAATAGTAACATAAATAAAACATACACAACAATATCTTTGGGTAGGTATGTACACACAGCCTCGCTATTTTGGTAGTATTTTAACAAAGCCATTTAATATATCCACTTAATAAAGTTACAACAGTTGCTGTAAAGTGACGAACTAAATGGCAATATTAATAAAGTAGTTCTTTAAATTAAACTAGATGTCGCTACATAATTATTTGTAGTGTTCAATCAAATTGTCTATGATATGCATTTCGATTTCCTTTTTCATATAATAAAAATAAATTGAGTTTTGTAAACAAATAAATAAGTTATCATTTATTTTAATCTCCTTGTCCGTTTCTTCTTAATTTCAAAAATTATTTTTAATTTTTTTGGATTGCAGTAACATGTAATGGAACGAAAATTACTATTTTGGTCCATTTTGATGTCATCGTTTTCGGTGAAGAAGTTTAGTTTTACACTTTGTTTTTTTTTTTAAATACTTCTTCATTGTTTTTAAGCCACAATGCGTTAAAAGGTAAATGCAAGCTGATTTATTGCTGTGTATACATTGCTTATATTAAGAGTATAACTAGAAATGAAGTGGTGAAATAGATATCTAAGTTCAATAAAACACAATTAATACGGATCACCAAAGCACTAATGCCTAAGACTAACACCCATTTTCACTAAACTAGAACAAAGCATAGCTTAACTAGGAAACGCCTAATGTTACGAATCGCCTAAGCAAATTAGTTAAATTTATAATAAATATTTCTTCATTTTTCAAATGCCTAGCGCAAGGCGCCGCATAACGAATATCATAAATGTAAAGATTACTTAATTTCGTTAGGTGGTTCCTAGTTAATAGTGAAATACATTTTTACCTTAGGTGTAGTTTAGTGAAAACGGGCATAAATTTCGAAGCAAAGCAAATGTCGGCCAATCGGAATGATTCAAGTGGTGCACCACCAGCGAACCCCACAGCTTAACCTCTTTGAGTATATTACTTACACTGTTTATACAATTTTATCATACGTTCGGAATTGATCAGTCTGGTCTCGGTCTAGTCTTACACGCCGTATTTCTTGTTAGTTTTACTGTACAGTATGCGCCATTTAAGTTTGCAAATCTAAAGTTGGTGACATACAGCTAAATATAACACGCTCTGTGATATTGATATTGTGGCTCTAGATTTAGAATAGGAGACGTGAAATAAGGTATATTTTACCTATATGGTAATATGTATTTTAAATTTTGTGTTAAATCACGAAGTTAGATGGCACATATTGTATTAATTAGACAATAAAATCTTTTAATATTTGAGAAAAGAGCAAGAACATCTAATCTAAACATATATTATTACCTTCTATATTATAACTTAATTGATTTCTCCAGATCTATATCAAGGTTTGATACATTTATTAATCAATATAAATGCCTTAAAAACACTTATAAATTATGAAAACTTAGGTAATTGTGATTGCATTAAGTGTTGAAATAGAATTTAGCTAAAAATAATTAAAATCTGTACAGACATCCGAATATAATTTAAGTGTATGTCGATAATTCATTGTAATTTTGACTAGATAAGTATATTATATTTCAGCTTAATCATATTACATCGAATTTACCAATGTCATATTAAATTATAACTAAATAACTATTTATTATATAACAACTTATTTTTAAATGCCCAAAACAAAGTATTAACATAATATTTCGACACTATAATTTAAATAAATAAACTAACATTCCAAAATGTTATTTAACTTAATTTTTCTGATTTTTCAACCCTACATATATTTTAAATTTTATATAGTTGTCGTATTTTTCATTCTTTGATTATATTATAGCCAATCTAATAAATTGAAGTACCTATGAGCAGTAATTGGACAAGCAGAATTATGTAAATACACAAAGATCATTTAAATGATAATTGAGAAGCTGATTGCAGGAGTATATAAGTTAATATTTTTCTAATTCATATCAATATATACAAGTCACTACAACACTAATGTTGACTTATCGCTCATTTTAATTTCAAGCAGTGGTTTGTGAAAATTTACTATTATTTTGGTCAATGGCATTGAAGTTTTTTAGCAGGACTCGAACACGGGTGATCTCGCGCTATCAACTTTAATTAACAAATATATATAACAAGCAAGATTATTTTTTTTTATAATTGCGAATGATAATTGTGCTATTAGTACACCACCATATTATGGTTGTTGGCGACCACCGCATCGTATTATATTAATAAATAACGTTTAACCGTATATGATATCTTAAACTTTTTAAGTCTGGGCATTTGTTTACTAATATTTTAAATAGGTACATCAATTTTTAGAAAGATATGACATCGCAACCAACTCATAAACCAGTTGGCCAAGACATATATGTGATGAAATAAATCGGCCATTTTCAGAAAAATAACCTGCTTCATGTAAAATTGAATATAAAGTCAGTGCAAAATATCACTGCAAAGTATATGTATATTATTTTAAATGTATGTTAAAGATAAATTAATCTACAACGTTAAAATTAATAAAAACGTTTGCTTTAATTGGAATTGTTCACGTGTACGTGATCGCCATTTTGTTTGCTGTGATCTTTTTCTATTACCTTCGTAATGGCTATTTCTTTCTGCTCTTTCCGCGAGTTTCGCACTTCAAATTCAAGCCGGTGGGCTATAATCCGTTGGACTATATCCTCTGTTGTCATTGTGTTGCCCGAATTTAATATCTGGAATACAAATGATTAATTCAAATTTAAAATGGATAAATCTTAGATTTAAGTAATTAAAATTATCGTTTTTGGTATTCTATTCCATTTGAAATAATACTTGTAACTGTTAATTTTAATGAAAAAAGCCATAAAACAAATAATTCGGACAAATTAAATCAAAAGTTAAGCTTTTTTATGCCCGCAAAAGCACCGTCCGCCATATTTATGACGTCATTTTGATATGTACACAAAACTGATGCATAAAGTAGAAGATTTAAAGATGTCAATAAAACAAGAACAATATCTAAGGATCGATCATAAAATGAAAATATATAAATAAGCTAAGAATAGCGCCATGTAGGATTTTTTATTTATAATTATTAGGTATATCTTTATTATTACTAATCTGACTGTTGTAGCCACAGTGACGCCACCCAATGGCGGGATGTGTTTCAAGTTATTTTGCACTACCGAAATTACGCGGTCACTACTTCGTGAAGAAAGCCGAAGAGCAAGCGTTTAGTGCCATTGTTATTTATTTTTTATCGGCAATCGACCATACGGAACTGGCGATTCCACATCGATAACGATCTCCATAATAGAGTTATATAACAAAGGCAGTAATAAAAACATAAAAAAAAGCATGACTCGGTATGGTCATTAACAAATGGACCACAAAATACATTTTATCTTGTATGTGTTGGATAAAATCACAAAATATATCTTGAATGGTCATAATATGCAACTTATGTTTTGAAGAGTATCTCGCACGTCAGTTTCACCATCGCTTTGGTCGCGATTGCCAGTCGGACCAAATGGAAAATGAACTTTTCTATATTGTCTCGATTCTTGGGTCTGGGTCTTAACAAATTTTATTGTTGCGTTTTCCATAATAGAAGTGCTAAAAGCTACTTATATTGGATCCGAGAAATATATATGATATTGTGTTATATTTATTTACGTTTATATGATGTATGCAGATTTTCATTGAACATAAAACAATCAACTCAATACAAAAATTTCAATTCACGTGAGCTCCGCAAACTTACAACCAAATTATGTAACAGATATTTTTTTTAGATATATTTCGTACCTATTTCAATTTTATCAATCACGATATTTTATCATAAATATGAATAATTACGGATAAGTATTAATCTATAATAGCGTGAGCGTACTACGTTACGACAAAGATTATTTATACGTAAATCGATAGTTATTTAATAGATGGTCTGTAGAGGTCAACAAAGTTATGTATTTATGACAAATATTATCAAGAACTAACGAAAAGATGAATTAAAATTTATTTTAATTGAGAATTTAAACAATAAATTCTACATATATCAAAATAAAAATAAAAAATATAATAAAAGGTATATTAATGCTGTGTGTACTGTACTGTTCCTATATATATCCTAGCATTATTGTAAATTACATCTTATTCGTTTTTATTTTATTTTAATTTGTCGCCTACTTCAACAGTTGTAGGTAGGAGACATGTCATTGGTGCCAACGAAAAACATATCTAAGAATCATGCCCAGCAGCGTTGAGTTTTTGCCTACCCCATAAGAGTTTCGGCGTGAAGGTATGAATAGATAAATAAATATAAGACAAATAGTGATTAAAAAACAGCGGTCCCAATACAGTACCTTGAAGCATCCCCTCTGTTTGGGCACCTTGTACGGGTCGTGTCCATCTCTGTCGGACGCTATCTGAGTGAGCCCGTGACATACAACCCTCACCCTGAAGTGGTCCATCAGCTCAGCGGTCACGTCATACGGAGCGCCTATCACCACTTCGTGCACGTACTGAATGAATGAAATATTCTTTTGTGTAAAATAGTATGATAAATAGGTGAAAATTATTCATTTAGTCCGTCAGTCAGATAATAGAAAAATATTAGATATGTCACGACTTTTAAAGACACAGTTTGAGACAATTCGTAGTTTTATATTTGACTTAAAATTCTTTCACCTACTTTTCATAGGCTATAATTTACACAAGCGAAGTCGCGGAAAAACAGCTATACTATTAAATATATAAAAACTTACCTTACAGGCAAGGACAGACAGCACTCGTTCGTGTAGATTCATAATAGGATAATTTGATCCTTTGTATCTGTTGACCTCTAAGTCTGTATGCAGACCCACGATAAGAAAGTCGCCTTGTGCATGCGCTTGCTCTAAGAAATCCAAATGTCCGACGTGAAATAAATCGAACGCTCCGGCAACGTACACAACCTAAAAAAATTCATTTAAGTACGTAAAAAAGCGTCTTAACCTTGACTGAAATATATGATTCCACACACACTGCTTTGTAAGTAAACTTCTCGAAAGTGCCCAAATGCATAAACACAATTGTCACCAAAAAAGATTTCATTTACCTATACTTTTAAATTGTAATGTAAACAATTACCAAAATCTATAACCAAATGTATAGATCATTTCTAAATGTTAGTGTATCATAAAAATAGTACTACTTATTTATTTTGGTAGATATTGGTATGTAGAAAACTAAAATAAAACTATAGTTGAGCATATTACAATACAACCATAAAAACAAACGGCCATTTGCTTCCATTCAAAAACAAATACAACAATCAAAACGTATGTAAGGGCAGATGATTTGTTTACGCGATATTTATTTTATGGCATTAACGTTGTCAACTTATTTGTGACCTTGTAGTAAAATTTTATAGACGCGATCAAAGGTCAATGTCGACTAAATTCGATGGTATTTTGCGAAAAAACGGATACTTGTTTTATTAAAAAGAGCTTAAAAAGTATTAATTGGATGTAGTTTTAAAATCGATTAACTTTAATGTAGTAATGGACTATCTATAATAATCTATATATATATATTTATACTTTAATCTATATATATAAAAATGAATCGCAAAATGTGTTGGTAAGCGCATAACTCAACAACGCCTCGACCAATTTGGCCAAATCTTTTTTAAAATGTTCGTTGAAGTTCAAGGATGGTTTTTACGAAAAGAAAAGTTAGAATTATTGCTGGAAAAACCCTAAAAATAGCCCTTTTCTTTTTCCCATACAAATGATTTGTAACTAAAACGTAGTCAATTTGAGCTTTATTGCTATGGTATAAAGTTCATATTAAATTACAAGCACTCACTGTTGTCTAAGCAATGTAGGTGTGTTCCTAACGTCAAAGATCATATCTATCAAAACAATGTGCGTGTGTGCGTTGGAGCACAGAATACATAGTTGGAGGAGTTTAATGTCGCGTTCCGAAACTCGCGTTTCTTTTGTATTAGTTTCGGCACGCGAGATAAAATGCATCAGTTTCCACGTCATTACATGTATTGCCGGAACATTGATGAAAATACGCTCTGTAGTAGCAAAGCTGTTGGGTCCTAGATAGCTCATTGGTTAGAGCAGTCCCTGGATCGCGAATGGGTTCGAGTCCCATTCCGGGGTACAGGTAGATGGATTCTTCCAGCATTTTTCCTTGAGAATGTTTATATATTTTTTTAATTCGAATAGTTTACTTTTATAATGCTGTTGTGTGTAATGTGTTTTTATGATCATATAAAAATCTCTTTTTTCTATATTTAATACTATTATTATTAATACATTGCAATAATAATTATGATTCACATGATTAACAATAAAGCGATTACTTACTTTTAAATCCTTATATATGTTTTATTTAATTATTTTTTATTCACAACGCCCTATCACCAGGGTGACGGTTCTGTTCAGGAGAATTTTTTTAAATACGTAGGCAAAAAAACTGCCACATTACAAATCTTTTTGACAGGACGAAGTCTGTCGGGTCAGCTAGTAAATACATATTAATGAATCGGCAAAATGTATGTACGCGTATAACTTACAAAAGACTGCATCAAATTGAATTATTCTTTTTTTTATATGTTCCATATTGTCAGGACCAGGTTTGTATATAAGAAAAATTTATAAAAAGATATAATTTATAAAAGAAGAGTATATGGCGGTACGAGGTTCGCCGGGTCAGCAAGAAATATTATAAAGATTCGATTGTTTGTTTACGATGGTTAAAAAAAAAATACAGGAAGCTAGGTACATCATACACGGGCGACATAAATATATATATATGTAAGTAAACCATATAATTTATTTTGAGAAGAGAATTTTTAGATGCTACAGGGGATCTTAGTTTTACAATATTAAATAATGGAATACATTTTTCCTGGATAGTGTATGGAGAGTAGTGTAAGTCCGCAGCAACATTCGTGGACTGATGGGCTTCTCGGAAGACCTGGTGAGATGAAATTGATACTACTCCGTTGCATTCCAAACAGATACTTGGTGTCGAAGAAAAAGCCGCCGTACGATATATCATAACTATGGAATTCATTACTAACTCGCAGATATAATACTATAATAGAACCTTACTAACTCAACCTAGAAGAACTAGAAGACGAAACTTGTGGGAAAGCAACGAATTGCCTGGATTTAGGTTTTTGTCACATTCTACAATTATATGGCGCGTGGTACCTACCTACTTACTAATAAGTAATGGCACCTAGCATAAAAAAACTTATTCATTTAAAGAGCCATCTAGTGGAGCTATCAGCTAGGAGTTGCTTTTGCAATACTAATAATATTGGATATTATTTAATAAAACATAGTTTAAATTGGTTCTTGTATCTGAAGCATGTGTGTATTAAACTTAAAATATCATATACTTTAACAAATAATTGCCACAAAGTTTTTTTACCCATGCTAACCTTACCTTATCAGTGGGTTTCGGTGATAGCCCACTGCTGAACTGTATAATTTTCTGAGTGGTGGGCAGAAACTGTGAGCAACCCGTGTATGGTGACCGTGCAGTAGAGTCCGTACCAAGGTTCGACGAATGCTCCAACGCCACAGAGTATTCTTTGTCACCTCTCCTGGAAATTGTATTGCCTTAAGTGCAATAAATACATATTACGAGTAAAGTACACATAAAACATAACCTCCGTGGCTGAATGGCTCACCCCCCGTTTTTCATTCCTCGTTAGTTCAATGTAGAAAATGAACAGTTTCAGATTTCCAAAATACAAATGCTAAAAACTACGCAATTATACATCAGCTACGTATATGATATTTTCTAATTATTTATAATTAAACTTCAATATTAACATGAAATTTTAAAGTAATAGAGTAATGTTAGCTTATGGATTGACTAGAAATTTTCATAAAGCATCACCTTTTTATGCATTTCCCCTATTCCAAAATTGTTTACAGGAATATTGTCTGAGCCACAACAAACCATTGCCAAAGCTACATTAATAATAATAATATTTAATTAATTACTAAATTTCAGCATTATTGTTTATTACTTTTTAAAGTAACTGTTAGTACTTTTACTTTTACAAGTAATTATTAAGTCATTAATATAGGTAAATTAAAATAAGCTATTTTCATAACTATTGATGTGTGTCACAATATTGTCATGATTTTTATTTTTTGATATACATAAAGCCAAATGTATTATAGTATTATTATCTTAATTATTTCAATGATCTATTCAAAATATGGTAAAAATATTGGACTTTTGCATAAATAGACAAATTTATTCATAAATTAATAATACATATTTAAAACAGCTACATATTTCATAAGTATCACTGGATCTTATTAAATTTTTGATATGAAAAAAAATTTTAACATATAAATGGATATTAAAGGCATTTAAATACTTGCCATTTATCTGTAATTTTGCCTCATGATTTTGATTATGATCAAAGGAAAAGGAATGTTTTTTTAAAGTAATAAGTAGTCCAAGTCCTTCCCCAACTTCATAGCTTTACAAAAAATCTTACTAATAATATTACAGCAGATATACATATATCTGCTGTAATATTATTAGTAAGATTTTTTGTGGTAAAATGTGGTAAAAATATAAAATAAGATATTACTTGAAATGTTCTCTGGTGAGTAACAACATTCTGCCCACTAAATCTGTAGTAGAAACACCTGCTGTTCTTAGCACCTCTCTGAAATTTACATGACATGCATAAGTTACTACATAACAAATTACTAATGTTTCACAAAAAGCTATTTTGATATGCTTTATCATAAAAATCAACATAATCATGATTCAATTTCCAACATAAAAACCTAATCATCATGACATTACCACTAACTTATATAATAAAAATTGAATGAATGTTCATTTATTATTCATAAACCATGACTCCTCATGCATAAATTATAGCTTATTTCATCTGCATACATTTTTGAAAAAATTTAATTGGTTCTGTAGCCTGATTTTTGAGAGATCTGGTGCAAACAAACAATAAAATACTTCCTCTTTATGTTATTAGTAGAAATATAACTATTTTTCTATAAGATAGCATAGCATTCTAAATGTTAAATTTATACCGATTTATTTTAATTAATACAAATTTTGTTACCTGTATTTTCCTGCTTTCTTAACCATATGATATGTATCAATCCCATCAGCTGTTACTGTGATATCATCTAAAAATGTTAGAATTCGTTTGTTTACTTAGGATGATGAGTAGTGAACAACTTTGATAAGTTAAAATATGGGCTAAATTTTATTGCATTTTTAAATTTTATTGTAACCTGATGTCCTGCTGTATGTTTTATTAGACATGTTTATGAGAGAAAAAAATAAATTTGTATTTAAATAAAATTTAAAATTGCATAGAGAGTATAGTGTTATTTAAAACTTTACCAACTTTGGATAAGGAATGGCAGCATTATTTGTACTATACTGTAATTACCTCCATGCACACAGAAGTCACACTGGTACTTTTCTAAAGTCTCTAATGTAGTGACATATGGTGCTCCTTCTACAACTTGGTCTACCCATTTTATAGCTCTGACCATTTTATAGCGTTCCTCTTGTGTGAATACTGGAGGTCCCTTATGCTTTGCTATCTCTTCATCTGTATGGACTCCCACTATCAACACATCTCCTAAAGCTTTTGCTTGTCTTAGGGAATTTGCATGACCAAAATGGACCATATCATAGCTGAAAAATTATCCAAAAAGAAGGCATAATAGTAACGTTTATTAAATTAAATAAATACCAACATTTCTAATTTGTCAAGTGTTTTCAACCACTTCTGTAATTGTTACGATTTTAGCACTCCTCTAAAAATTTTGCGTTTCAAATTAGAAAAGTCTATCCCTTCTTTTATAAACAACTTTTGCAATCATAGAATAGGTTTTTATCGATTTTTCTGGCGAGAGGAAATAACTTCAATAATTAGTATAGATTAGGAATTTAATACTTTAATGTCAGTTCAGAAGAAAATAATATCGTAATCGCCTGAAAAGTAGGCGTGGAGTCAAATAAACCCTTCGAAATGCACCGGATGTTTCAGCTCTAACTTACAAAATGTTGTGGCTTATTCTACCAACACTGAGAAATCAATAAATATCTACGTATACTGTATTCATGGGCTTCTAAATTAAGATGAAATGCATACTTCAAAAACTATAAAAACTATATACTCACCATCCATCACACCACACACGAATTTGCTTTTTCTCTTCTTTTTTATTATTCATTTCCGACATTTAATAAGGAAAAGCTGTTACATTCAAGGTCATACACTTTCGCTGATAGTTTCTTTACAGTACCTCCAAGTTAATTAAATTTATATTATTTAATGTGTTCGAATTTTGGAATCACCGCATCCACGACAATCTTGTAATAGTTTCAATAAATGACTGACATAAAATGACATGTGACTGACTGACATTGACAAAGGAAGTGACAATGACAATTGCTGACAATAGAGGCTAGAGCTAGGGTTAGAGATAGAGCGGGTTTTGGATTTTTGTTTGAGTTGAGAGCGTGAAGCAATAACGTAAACATCTGTATAATGCCTAGACAACCAGATACTCTATAGTTTTAGGGATAGACATTAGGCTGTTTATTTTAATTTATCCTTGAAGTCATCAACGGATAAAAATACCTAACTGATCCTTTTATCTAATACGTTACATTCATTAGAAGCAATTCTTTAGGCAATGTAAAATCATATAAATACCAAGTAATCAATATCCATACTAATATTATAAATGAGAAAGTAACGGTGTCTGTGTGTCTATCACGTTTTCACGCATAAACTACTAAACAATTTTTTATGAAATTTGGCACACAGATTGAGTGGACGTTGAGGAATATACACAGCGAAAAATACTCTTAGGGGGTAGAATGAAGAATTGAAAATATAAGGGTTGTCTTCGTTGAAGATATAAACATGAATTGCTATCAATATCACAGTAAAAAATAAACTATTTAAAAAGAAACCAAAGATAAAATAAACACTACTTTTAAAGAAAGAACCTGACTCGCAACTACCTTTTGTGCTATCCCGCATGACGTCTCGCCGTCTCCATGCGAGCTCAGTAGCGACAGTACAACAGATACGTTTTTGCAATTTCAAAATTTATAGTTATTCGCTTGCTAATTTTACTGGATTTTAATTAAGTTTTCGATAGGTTCGATGGAAGTTTTTTGTTAATTGTTAAGACGGCGATCCTGTGTTCAACATATTTCATGCAAATACTTTTATAGAACTCTTTAGTTTACATCAAAATCAAAGCCGGGGTATTTATTGATTTCTAAAAAATCTTAAAGCTATCTCCTTAAATAGAGTTTTAATTTAATATAATTATTAGGATAAATCTTGTATCCTTCTTAATGTTGTATCACATAAATTCTTTTTATTTATGTCCTTCATAGTGATGAGCCCCTCGTTTGAGTCCTCATTTCGACAAAATGAGGGAGTACTCGTTTTTCAATTTTGAACCAACTCATTTAGCTCCTCACTTTTTGAGGCTACAAGCACGAGGCGCGAGCGCAGATATTACACCTCACGCAACAGAATAGCGAGTTGTTTAGAATGAAAAGGCGACTCAATACTTACTCAATATTGAAGGAACGTATTAAGATGACTTTTTTGGAACGATTCAGGTTTGTTTATGTTTCTTCGCAAATACCTATTTAATTTTTTATAGATAAATGATATTAATTTGCCTAAGTAAAAACCAAAGTTAATAAAAATGTATCGTTTTTTTAGAAATATATTTATATTTCGTTGTTCCTTTTTTAAAATCGATTAATTAATATTTATTATATTCCGAATCGAATTTTAAAAACTGGAACATTTGACACTATTAAAAATAAGTTGCGTGTTGTGGTCATTCTGTTAAATAATAATCTAATAAAGTTTATTTCTTAGAATCTAAAGAAAAAATATGTTTTGTTTAGCTTTACCGACTCCCTCCCTCATTTAGTACCAAACGGCAACGCTGCGCGCGCCTCGCTACGTACTCATTCACTGCTACTCTAACATTACCTTTCCTCGCCTCAAATGAGGGGTAACTCGGGAGCCCCTCACGAGGGAAAATGAGGCCCTCACTCATCCTCATTAAAAAAGAGTGAGTTCACAACGCTAGTCCTTCATGGGTTACGCTTGGAAGAGAATGCTGCTTAGCAGTAAGGCCGTTTTTTTGTGAACTTTTTTTGCCAAACTGATATTCTCTGTAACTTGTTTTCTATTGTGTGCAGAAAAGTGTATTATTATTATTAGTTAAACAGTGTTTTAATAATAGCGATAGTTTTGCTCATACAAAAACTTATTAACATAAATTATAATCAAACATATTCATTTCGATACTTTTTATAGTACCGATTTTTAAATATAGTACGTATATATAATTTCTTTATAAGTGTAAACGTAACTTGTTAGAAAAAGGCAATGATCCAAGGCTATCTGTTTTTATCTGAAGCATGAACACAAAAGTAGTCTATAGTAAAATTTATTTCTGTGATTTATTTATGTATGTACCACCAAGAACTTTATAAATTCTATTGTTTAACTTTAAACTATTGTTTGCCGTACAAACAATAGGGTACCGTACTGTGGTCTTCTCTTTCTTACAGAGTGATAGCTAGTAACCTAGTTTTCCTTCTCTATTTTTCTAAATAGGGATCACAGCTTGGTAAGAATACGAAGCTGTGTTTACAACCAAACAAAGAACCCATTTTCGTATTCCATAGCAAAAATTATCGTATACTGAGTAAAATCACGCTAACACAATATGTCAAAAATCCTAAAGTAATTTTAAACTCTAATGCTCAGGTTATAAGGCTTAAAATCAAATAAAATAATTTGACAAAATTGTATAGTCTGACGTGTGTGTTTACATTTTAGGGTATAGGCAACCTTGGACATGTTGTGGACCAAACTTTAGTGTGCAAATGCGTTCGCGGGCTGCGTTTAAAAGTATTGTTGTAGTGCTCATAATTTTTTTGCGATATGTATCAGACATGAAATAATACGAGAATGTTATTATAAATTAGGTTTTTCAAAATGAACCGGCTGTTGCCCACCGTGTTAGAACGACTTAGAGTGACTTCATATAATAATGATCGAACTTCACTTAGAAGTGCGTGTGATCTGCTATTATACTTATATTAAATATTATAAATAGGTACACGCCTTTAGTTTCGTTAGAAAAAAAGGAGAAATATCCGAATGTCGCACTTTACGCGTCAATTGGACTTTGATTTATAGTAAATTATTTAGTATCAATAGTATGTTTATCAAATCGTGGTAAGCGTATAATTGGCTCGATTCAGTCACGCCACTACACGCCACCCCGAGGCGACGAATGCGGAGCCACTTCAATCAATGTAAGATGAGCACGAGACTACCGAAACGTCTACATAATTCTATGGGGGTTACAATGTTATCAGTCGGCATACATTTAGTGAGTTTACTGATGTTCCTTTGTGCATGCAAATAAACAAATACGTAACGTACGTCACTGACTTATATCGTCTACATCAAGTCTACACTAACAAGAAGTCGTCCGCCTATTATAAATGGTATTAATCAATTATTAAAAAAGGTTGAAATATAGTTAAGCATAAGCGTGTAACATTTTTAAATTTACTCTTGACATTTATTTATCAATAAACTCATTGAAAAAAAAAGACATATTATATTTACCTATATTAAAGATAATTTAAATTGAAAATCTCCAAACATAATGAATAAATCGCAATAAGTGACTACTAAATATATTTATTTTATACATTGAATATTCAAAGTAAGCAGATAAGGCAAGTACACACGAATGCTCGTCAGGTTACCAATTTCTATCTCTAATCAGAATATTTTAAAATTTCAAATAGAGTGAGGAAATTTGTTTGTTTAGTATAAACCTAACATGCTGTGGACTGTCATACACAAGTGCAAGTCGCACTATTCGAGTATTCTTGTCGAAATAAAATCCTTTACAGGTGACTTTCTTTCTGGGTTTACTTTAGGGAGAGGCAATCTTAACTATTTAATTTTTCATTCAGAATAGCTTTCTGCCTGCGACTTCATTCGCATGAACTACACTAAACTGCCTCCCTTTTGCACCCCCTGAGTTTAACATTAAGCAAATAATCTCGACATAATAGAAGAAGAAGAAGAAGAAGAAGAAGAAAAGTGTAAAGCTTGTTGTTTTGAAAGAAAGGAGAAGGTCTGCCTTCATGGACCACTAACAAAATATATAGACAACAGGAACCATCATAAAGCGAAATGAAGACCACTCTGCTCTTAGCATCATCAAGTTTATTAACGTCTAGGTAATTCTATTAAGTACATATATAATTTTAGGAGTGCAATATACAATATTTTCCTAATCTTTGGCGTCTGCTACTCCGCCGTTTGTTATAGCAAATGTAGCTTCACTCTCAGGTAAGTCAGGAGAATCGTATATTTTTGCAATCCTATTCTCTCCTCTTCCCTTCCGGAGGGCAATCCTCGTAGTAGAAGCGTGGGCGAGGATGTTACCCCCGATCGGCTTCTTTGGATCTGCTTGAAATGTCAACGTCGCACCAGGATCAGCCGTCATTTGGTTGGTAATGAATACCGCAACGTTGTATTCTTCGGAAATCTGGCAGTTGTTATTACTAATATTAGTTTCTGTATTTACAAAAACTAAATAACAGTGCTATTATATTACAAATATAGTGTCAAATGTAGCGTCTAACGCAGCGATATTGCAATAGTAGTGGTTGAATCAGATAAACCCTTTGAAGGCGATTTGATGGACAACGTTTTGTGCGATGCTGTATTTTTACCTAATAAAAAACAAGTTCTAATTTCAACTTTATCAAACTTTATTCTGACTCTCTTCAGGGCTGAACCATTCGTGTCATTTTCAAGGCGGCGCATAATTATACGATTTTGGGTTTTATTCCTGGCTAAGTTATTAGATTGCATTACCTTCGTTTTTAACTAGAATTAACTTGGGAACTGAGTATTGGAATACCTTGTAACAATTTTAATATTCAGTTTGAAGAAATTACCATTTTGTCTTATTTTAAACCTAATCCGTTAAAGTTATAGCTAGGTAAGCATATTAAAATATTATTACGCATCATGAATATTACCATCTGCGCATTCGACACGTGTCGAGTTAGTCCTAACACGACGAAGTCAGAATTTTAAATGTTTCCTGCTTTACATTATGATGACGTGTAAGTATGAATAATTATTGAATCGTATCTGCATACTCATTAGCCAGCCTTGAACTAACCTATAAATCAGAGGAGACGGTCAAGAAAATTAGGTATATTTCGATCGCTAGTTATCATAAAAGTCAGTAACCCTAAGCTTAAGAAACCGGATGTCGATAATTATGACAACGCTTCGTAAACTTGAACTGACACGAGTTTATGCAATCAATGCGTGATTATTAAACTTGCGTTTAATTCATGAAATTCGGATTTCATCATGTTACTTAAAATAACTATACCTGATTAAATACTTTTTGAAAAATGCCACTATCATGATATTGGCATTTATAAGTAATGAAAGATTTTTTCCTTGGTACAGTAAATCTATTATTTAGGGCTCTAAAAATAACTTAATGGTTATTTTGAAATTCATCAACATTTCCTGCCTACGTACCTTTTGCAATCTCGACAACACCTGTGCCAACTTCTGCTGACGATCGGCTAATTCGCCACGCCCAGAGAAGTCCACTCTAAAAAGAGCCATGATGGAATCAATGATGAGCAATTTAAAAACTCCTGCCTCTTCATGAAACTTTGCAGCTACGTAGTCCAGCAGTTCGGCCTGGTATAGAGAGGGAAGATAGTTATTTTAATTAGGTTATGGTAATAATAGTAAGTTCCAACTGAAAATGCGTCTTCATTATGTTGTTTTCATTGTCATTAACATTAGAATTATTGTTAATTACTGGTTTGCCACCTTGCACCTTATGTTTATCGAGTCCCCGATATTTCGGTGATGTTGCTTGATCACGGCGCTTGCAACAGCGGCAAAATATCTGGGACTCGATTAATTAAGGTACATAATACCAAACCTATGGTTAACAATCATTATATTGCATCTTCTTTCTCACTATCTATCTTTATGATATCTATGCCATTGTGCGATGCGCGTACTTTATGTCATTGTTAAATGATCTTCTCGATAACGACTGATAGGCAAGTGGGTTAAATTGATACGCAGTATACCCAAAAAAAACTGTCCCTGCCCTTGAGCTTAAATGCACGATTTAGATATTGCTTATACTTAACATCGTTTCTGTATCATAAAGTGATCTCTCGAAGTATATGCATTGTATAAAAAGGAAACCGCGTTGTGAAGAACGGTGCTGCTTCTTAGCAAATTTAGTTATGTATTTGAGTTGATAATACTATATAATGAGGAAGTATTTAAAAAAAAACATTAGTTCCCCGTAATCAAACTAGATTTCGCTTCGGTGCGTTCTTGATTTCTCCATAACAACCTTTCCGGTTTCTTCCATGTTTAAAAGTAAATTAGTTTTCAAAACTCAATAAACAACTCATATTCTATTTGTACTTTTTCTTATTTTTATTGATAACTAATCTCGAACTTTTCAAATTTCAGTTTCTTAATATGTTAGTTAAAATATACGGAAATGACTGTCTTTGGTCCATTCGTTTCCTGCCAAAATCAACTTTTGCAAGGGTCGCCATCTAGTGGAGGTGCTTTTTTAGTGCTTTCGTTTTTTTTCAATACTTCCTCATTGTAATTCCGCTTTTTAATTAATATTAACTGCTTTCCTATAAAACTGCTGAACCGATTTTGATAAGATTGAGCTGTCCCTATATTGCAAAGCGAAATATTCAAACTGTAAAACAATAATTGCGATACAATCTCTTATTTGCGAGAAATATGTGGATAAACATACAGACTTACATCTACGTACACTTACATAATTTAGCACACGTGTTTGGAAGCACAACTATTACATGGATACAGGTCAAATTGATGACCCGTATTATTTTAGACTGTTAACAATACGGCATCGATATGAGAGTGTCCTAGTAAAAGCTAGAGGCTGAGAAATGTATTGTTACCTGATGTTCAGAGGTGTAAGCTCGGGCGTATAAGACGTTGTCCAAAACAGCGTTTTGGTCTAAATTAAACCTGTCAGCAATCGGACGCAGTCTATCTGGGCGACTAATAACTGGGGCTCAGAAAAATTATGCATCTATATATCAAACATAGTGTTTTTCTTCAAAACAATCAAATGAAATGAAATGAAATTATTCAAGTAACGTATTTATTCAAGTAAGCTTGTTTCAAGCTCTTTTGAATTGTCAAAAAAAAAATTCCCCTACTACTTGTTCAAGACGCCTTTTAGCTGACAAGAAGAACATTTACACAAATCATGTCATTACCGAAATAGTACGTAGGTATTATAACAATAATAATTACAACTTTCAGTCTGTACCTGTCCTAGGTACATATACCTAATTAGTAGTTATAGAACAAAACGAACCGAATACATAACACATCGCTACCCACAGAACACAGTTTCCGTGTTCTGTGTCGCTACCCAAGCAAATACTTTTCCAATTGAGCTACAGTACCGGAGACATTTGAGAATCCCACACACCCCTGTCGCTTGCCAGGCGGCGGGAACAGCGCCTGAAGTATCTCCTCGACGTTATGAGTTAAGACATAGTAGTTAACAACGGGACTGGCGGAATATTGTTTTTTCGCTATAAGCGAGCATATTTCCAGCGGTATTTCGATAATTTAACTAAGTAAACAGCTGGAAAAATATTAAAAAAGAAATAACTTTTGATTAAGATGAAAATTGGTATGTTTAATATTATTGTGAATTTTGCATTAACATGCTATCATTTTTTATCTTTGAACTAGAAATGCTTGAAAAAAAGGTCATTTTAAGATAATAATAATTACATTACTAATGAGTGTTATAAGCGTAGCAAATACAATAAAAGTGGAACTCAATCCATATCAGTTATATAATTACCGATTTAATTTGGCAAGGCAAACTTTTATGAACTTTTACACCGAGGTGAAGTTTATGAGTAATTTATGTTATTTATTATTATTTAGTGTAAGGAATTTATGTCACGAATAAATAATTCTTTTGATTTTATTGTACTAAGTAAAAGACCGTATTTTTTTGTAAAGTTGTTAAGGATACAAAGTATGTTCAGTGTCGAGAAACATAACTTTTCCGCCGTGATAACCGTTTGAGGTAGGTATCTGTGTGGTCACACATAATGTGTGGGACAGTTGTGTTTTTCCAGTCCGAAATTCACCGAAAACTTCAGTTATAGCCATTGATTCAATGCCACCGGCAAGCAATCTGCTGCAAGAAAGCAATAAAGGTTGTTAATTAAAATACGTTAACATAGCAAAGTAGTATTTGACGAAAGTATTATATAACATACTCTAATTCGCCACTCCCGGTGCTAATTTTGAATACCTGTTTGCGCCGATCGCTAACTTCTAAAGCCGTCATGAATCCTAACGATATTACTTTCTGACAAGCTTCTTTAATTTTTTCCACTTTAGTTTCAGAAAAGCCCTTTATATTATTTAATTTTTTTTTTGTGGACATTTGTATCCCTTTTATAGTACATATTCCAGCTGCTTTTAATTTTTTTATATCTGCTACATTGATGCCGTGTTTTTGAAGTATGTCCACATCTTGGAAAAAAGTTTCCTCATCATCGTTTTCAGAAACATTATCATCTAAAGTTTGATCTATCATTATTTAAAGATAGAAAATATCTGTTTCAAATTCTAAAAAGCGAAAATTTTATTTTCACTTACAAAATTCCCGCTATAAATATTTTTTGTTTTATTTAAAATCAAACAAAGGAATCTAGCACATACAGTTAAGTCTTAAACAGTATTGCTCTCTGTTTCTACCATAGATTTAGTTATATTTGTACCATAGTAATATATACTATACCTATATCTTCACGCAGATTCCCTTGCGGAGTAGGCAGAGATAATATATATACCTATAATATCCTATAATAGCACATTAAATATATGGTTCCTATCAAATTAAAGCGCAGTGTTTATTATTCAAATGCGTCTTTGGAGTTTTTGACATAGGTTGTGGCGCAGCTGTATCTAATAAATAAATAAAAGTAGTTCTCAAAATTAAACTGATATTATATTTCTTATGTTAAGTGTATTATTAATGAAATTAATATTTTTCTGCTAGATATCTGCCCATATTCGTCCACTGCTGGACATAGGCCTCCCCAATTGCACGCCATCTATTTCGATTTTCGGCTGTTCGCATCCAGCTCCTGCCAGCCATCTTGCGCAAATCATCGCTCCACCGCGCCTGAGGACGTCCTACACTACGTTTGCCGAGACGCGGTCTCCACTCAAGAACTCGTTTACCCCAACGGTTATCGGTTCTGCGGCTAATATGGCCAGCCCACTGCCACTTCAGCTTGCTAATCCGGTGGGCTATGTCGATAACCTTGGTTCTCTGCCAGATCACCTCATTTTTGATTCGATCCCGCAGAGAAACGCCGAGCATAGCCCTTTCCATAGCGCGCTGAGCGACCTTCAACTTGTGGACCAGCCGTGCCGTCAGTGTCCACGTTTCGGCTCCGTATGTCATAACGGGTAGGACGCACTGATTAAAGACTTTTGTCTTTAGGCACTGCGGGATCGACGATGTAAAGACCTGACGTAGTTTCCCAAACGCTGCCCAACCTAGCCGAACTCTTCCATTTACCTCGCTCTCGAAGTTGTTTCTACCTAACTGCAATGTTTGCCCGAGGTGTACATATTTTGGAACAATTCCGAGAACGGCGTTATAGCCATTGATTCAATGCCACCGGCAAGCAATCTGCTGCAAGAAAGCAATAAAGGTTGTTAATTAAAATACGTTAACATAGCAAAGTAGTATTTGACGAAAGTATTATATAACATACTCTAATTCGCCACTCCCGGTGCTAATTTTGAATACCTGTTTGCGCCGATCGCTAACTTCTAAAGCCGTCATGAATCCTAACGATATTACTTTCTGACAAGCTTCTTTAATTTTTTCCACTTTAGTTTCAGAAAAGCCCTTTATATTATTTAATTTTTTTTTTGTGGACATTTGTATCCCTTTTATAGTACATATTCCAGCTGCTTTTAATTTTTTTATATCTGCTACATTGATGCCGTGTTTTTGAAGTATGTCCACATCTTGGAAAAAAGTTTCCTCATCATCGTTTTCAGAAACATTATCATCTAAAGTTTGATCTATCATTATTTAAAGAGAAAATATCTGTTTCAAATTCTAAAAAGCGAAAATTTTATTTTCACTTACAAAATTCCCGCTATAAATATTTTTTGTTTTATTTAAAATCAAACAAAGGAATCTAGCACATACAGTTAAGTCTTAAACAGTATTGCTCTCTGTTTCTACCATAGATTTAGTTATATTTGTACCATAGTAATATATACTATACCTATATCTTCACGCAGATTCCCTTGCGGAGTAGGCAGAGATAATATATATACCTATAATATCCTATAATAGCACATTAAATATATGGTTCCTATCAAATTAAAGCGTAGTGTTTATTATTCAAATGCGTCTTTGGAGTTTTTGACATAGGTTGTGGCGTAGCTGTATCTAATAAATAAATAAAAGTAGTTCTCAAAATTAAACTCATATTATATTTCTTATGTTAAGTGTATTATTAAATTAATATTTTTCTGCTAGATATCTGTATTAATTTAAGATCTCTTGAACAATACAGGTATACTGATCTGAGATGAAGGGGATTAAACAGCTATTATCTTCATATAAATTTAGTATTTTCATGGAATAACAAACGACTGTTATTACTCAGATATTTATTGGCAGATACAATCTTGGACTTAGTACTTAGAACAGGACTTACAACTCCAGAAAATTGTAATTACAAAAATGAACCTTATCACTATCGATTAAAGTATACTCTTAATTACTCTTTGTGCTGAAGCCAATCCGAGCCGAGAAAGATAGTCACGACGGAGGCTATGTATCTTGTTTTTTCATTTTGCCATTATAAAAAAATATCATTCATCCAAAGTTTTAACTAATATAATCTTAATAGAAACATTTGTATTTTAATGGTAACTCTTAAATTTTAAGTTATTATATAATCACATTAATTTAATTAATATTAAATTATTACAAAACAGTGGTATTAATTATTTTCAAGTGTATTTGTCCACTTTTTTCTACTGATATCCATTTCAAGTGTCATGGCGATAACTAGTAATTAGAAAAAAAAGTATTTTTACTTCAGTAGTTTTTATACATACCAACAATTAAAATTGTAAAAATGTTGCAGTCATGTTTGTTCAACTGAATCTTGTAGTGGTTGCATTGCAATACGTTTTTTCACGATTAAGTTAAAAACAACAACATTATAAATCTAACAACTATGTATACTATGAAGCGTTTTAATATGTGGCTGATGGTGTATGTGCTCATAGTAAAGTATTAATACAGATTTCCAAAAAGTGAAGAAATGCGACATCATCCTGACTCCAACATTTTTTACTGGTAGACTGGCAGACTGGCTTTTGTATTAAAATGCAATAAAGAATATATAAATATAAAAATGTCTTTTAACAGTGTGGGGCAGATTATTTATTATTATAAATGGCTATACAGTTCCCCGAGGAACTGTAGTCACTGCGACCTTGACAATTTATTGTGACTCGCCGCCAGAGCTATGGTAACTCCTTTAGTCCGGTAAACATCAAAAAGTCTATAATATTCCTGGCTTTTAGAGGTTTATATTTTGTGACATATAATCTCATTTCAAATGTATGGATTTGTGGTTCATATTCACACAGGAGATATTTTGGTGTTTCACGTTCCTGTTTGCAATGTCTGCAAATGTCAGTGTCACTTCGTTCAAATGTACTTACATTTACTCTGTGTAGCTTCAAGAGCTTTTTAGCTAGTTTTTGTGAATGGCTTTCAATAAGGGATTTAGCGTGATTTAATCCCAACTGGTTTTGCCAGTATTTTTTTTAATCCTTTTGCATTACATGGATTTTTGGGATACCACAAAAGGGCTCTGATCCTATTTGTAGTCCCTGCGTTCGAGGCCTTGCTAATTCTTCCCATTTTTTATTGCCGGTGATACCCGAGTATCTTGGTGCCCATTTAAGAATAATTTTATTCTTTTGCCCCAGTTCATTCAATCTGTTAATATAGGCCTTTACCAGTTTCGAACTTATCACGCTTGATCACTTGATCACGCGTATGACATCGAGTGCTGCTTGACTATCAGAGTATATATAAATGGTCTGATTTTTGTAGTTTTGTTGGCGATTAGCTTCCACACATTCTAGAATGGCGTACATTGCAACATAGAAAATAGTAGCGTTTATCCCAATATTCACACTTTTGTTGAATTTCGGTCTTACACCGTATGCTCCACATTCTACATTATGACCCATTTTGGAGCCATCTGCTCCACCAGACTAGGCTTACTGTTTTGTAGAGCTCATTTGTCTCGGACCATTCCTCTCTGCTCGGTATCTCCACTGAGTAATTTCTTTCAAAGTAACAAAGCGGAGTCGTGACGTCCGTGGTCATTGCTAGAGGTGTTTTCTCAAGGACTGTTTCATATAGAGATATCAGTGATTGACAATGCCAGTTTTTTTTGACCAGTTACACCTACTCTGTAAAAACTTTCGCCTTTTTCATTATAAATAAATGCAGATTCAGTAAGTAGTGCAGGGCATTAACATCAGCTCCTGGAATGGTAGACATGGCACCGGTTGCCATGAGGCATGATGTTCGATAAAAAGCTGGCATATGTCACCACTGCCTTACATTGACGGTGTACGGTCGGCCAAGAAAGTGGTTTACCAGTTTTGACATTTCCCGTGTCTTTAAAGCATCGCTAAAGGCAAATCTTAGAATTGCATACAAACAATAAAAGAGATGCACAATGCTGACGTGTTGTCGTAGAGCACAAATGTTATTTTGACCTTTGCAGCCTATGCATTAGATAATAATTTGCAACAACAAATAGTCTTCACAATATCTCATACATTTAAAATTTAAGTAGGTCACTTCAAAGTGGAAACTATTTTGTTACGAAAACTCTTTTACTGAAAAAGAATATATCACTTGACAATCCATGTCAAATATTTTCTCGGCATTTTCCGTAGGTATTTTCCTAATTAATTTACACTACAATGCCCCGAAATTTATCCATTAACGAAAGAGCACAAATAATCGCATTACACAATGATGGTTTGAATATTAGTGAGATTTCTAGAGAATTAAATGTGTCGGTAAGTATTATTATGTCTGACGTGAGTTTAATGTAAAATCTCAGACCAAGTCCGAGTGTAAAAATTTTTAAAATAGTGTAAAATATTTTATTTTTGATTATAGAGACAAGCTGTCCGTCTTTGGATAAGACGAGAAAGCGAGGAGGGGAATTTGAATTAGGAGTCGTAGCGGTCTCCAGATATATCAGATACTCAGCGAGTCTTCATGAGACGGAGTTATGAGGAATCTGGCTTTATACCAACGCGTTATTTTGCCGACATATTTGACGTGACTCTCCAAACCATTAGAAACCATTTACATTACATGGGCTTACATCACAGGCGTTATGCAAAGAAAATTTATATGACTGACGCTCATAGAATGGCCAGATTAAATTTCGCCATAGAATATTTGGATTTTGATTGGAGTAACACTGTTTTCTGTGACGAGAAAACTTTTAAATCCAGTCAACACGGGCGTCTACACCTTTGGCGATTCAATAAAACGCGATACACGCAAAATCATGTCGTGCCAAATAGAGAATCGGGTCGTATCTCGGTAAATTTGTATGGATGGATGACTGCTGATGGTGTTGGAGACTTGACCTTTTTGCCACCACGAGCAACGGCATCAGATTAT